TGTTCAGAAAGTCTGGGAGAGGGGACACTGCCAAGGGAGGACTCTGCTAGCAGCAAAGGAGTGGCTGCAGGTTCTGGTCTAGCACCATTTTCACTTCATTCACAGTAATAAAGCCAAATAGAGGCACAGAGAGAGAGAGAGAGAGAGAGAGAGAGAGAGTTTTAATCCCCATTGAAACAGCACGCTGAACAGACACACTGCATGAACCGTTAGTAAAGTGAAGAAAAAAAAAAACCCAAACCACCACGGGATTTACAGCAAAATACAACTAAGAGGGATAAAACGAGGCACACTATATGTAGGAAGTGTCAGGGAAGATTAAGAAGTGTCCTGCTGCTTAGTACTCGGCTTTCTGCATTTATATTTTACATTTACAAAGATGGAATGCGTATATTTGGTATTACATTACATGTTGGAAAACTTTTAGGGAATACTGGAAAAGAAACAGACACAAGTGCTAGTGGGACTCATTCCCAGAGTTTTATACACTTGTTGCTGCAACTTCTTTAGAGTGTTATTTTTTGTGAAGGTTAGACTATCTATTTCTCAATATTATTTCATATTCTTTCTTTTTCAGTTGTGATAGGAAAAAAAATGTAGAAAATATATTATTAAAGACCCCTACTTGAAGAAAAGCACCCGTCAGACATCTCACAGTAACACACAAAATTAAAAGTAAACTATGAGGTAGAGAGCAACCACAGCCACATGTTTTGAGCAGACTAAATTAGCCACAGGAGCAGGTTCTGCTAACTTTTTATATTTATATATTAGCATGCAGAATTAAGTATCTTAATAAGGTAGGGATCCTTAAGTGCTGAAAATTATTGATCAGATTTAAGAACAACCAGAGAACAGACCTCACAGGTGGTAAAGGTGTGGATGGAGATTCTGGTACAGGTGGTATCTCCAAAGTCTGGGTAGCTATGGAGCTTTTATTCAGATTAATACATGTATCTTGGGCTCCTGCTCCATTAGGTAGATCTGCAGGTATGCTATACAGATATTTACGACATGAGGGGGGGAAAAAAAAAGAATACGTGATTTTTGACAGGTTGTTTCAGGACTGACCAAGAGTGGGACAAGTATTTTCCAGGGGCTACAGATTAGCTAAACTACAAATCTGGAAAATCCAGACACACCTTCACTCAGGACAATGAGCTGACTCTACAGTTTAAGGCCAAAATCAAATCTGTACCTGCTTGCTCAAAAGGAGATGGTTAGGAGCGAACATCTAATAGGTCCTGCAGAATTAGATCAGTTACTAGAACACATAAATAAACCTTACATAAAGGCTAGACTTTGCCTTTCTAAGCTTTAAGTATCTGGTTTAAGAAAGGCAATTTACACATTCCAGTGAGGGCTTTCTATTGCCATTTCCTGTCCTTCCAGCTGCTGAAAAGAAAAATCTTTCATCCACACAAAAATCCCTAGTAGGTTACAGTTTAGGGGTAAACAATAATAAGAAATCCAGAAGGCATTTGTCTTGGACAATGCCTGAAAAGCTTCATATTATTAAATTGGGATATTTATCTGTAGATGACTGGTGGAAGAGAAGTTTCTATTCCATTTTTTTTGTCGTATTCATCCTTCTAGGTGATTTCTTAAATGCGAGCTTATTCATCTATATAAAAAGCCACTCAGAATATTTTTTTCAAAGATCAGATATATGCTGGGAATCAGACAACAAGCACATTATCCACATGCAAATGGAAAAGCAATCCACTGTTTTGGGAACGGTAACAAGGTCCAAAATTTAACATCAACGAGTGCTGTGCAATGGGGATACTGGGCAAAGAGATGACATCTTTAAAGCAGTAAATTAAACTCATTTCACACGTTCATAAAACATTTTTGTACCTAGTGATTAGTTTCCTATATCATAGTAACAAATAATTTTGGTAGCCTTTCTCAAACTATTCTCATATTCTCAAAAGACTTTATGATTATGTTTAATTTTAATCAAAACAGAGGCTTCTATACTTTGGGCTATTTAGAGAGGTTTTTTCTTCCATTTCTCGCTAAAGCAACTCTCCCTTCAAAGCAATAAGAGCTGGTAAGATAGATAAACGTAATGGTAAGTTAAATACTAACCTGAAGATATTCTCATTACCTAGGGAGATCTCCAAAATAGAAAAATACTTGAAAGTCAAACCATTCTGCTCTTATGAAGAAAACTTTACAGAGAATCTAAATTATAACCTTTCACCATTTTCATTGCATCGTTGTCCTCCGAAACGGCTGTCTTCCTTTCCATTCATAAACAGTTATTTAAACCCATCAAAACAATTTCAATACGCTATTTCACGTTCCGTCTTTAATACGCAGTATTCGATCAAATATCATGGTGTATGTGCACGCAGTAACACACTTGGGTTTAGTAACACTACTCACTACTGAGTTATGCGATGGAAGGAGGGGGAGCAGGAATCAAACCGATTGGCACTTCTCATCCAAACAGTCTTCAGTGAAGTTATTAAAGTGAGTATTTTCCCCTGCTGTCCCTAAGGAGTTAGCCCAAAAGGTGTGCAAGATGTGATATGCCTTGGTCTACCATTACAAATGCAACACTAATTGTACTTTATGCTGTGCACTGTTAGACATCCACGTCGGTGACTGTTAGTGTTGGACAACTTGGCCATTACCTGAATTCTCCATTTGCTGTGTGGCTTTTCCTAAAGATAAAATGACAAATACCATAAGCTACTACTGTACTGCATAACTGTATAAACCATCTGAAAAGGAAAATCAAACTCAAAATGCTTCCAAAGGTCTCCATTGCTTTCAGTTTTCCAAGTTGCACAAGGAGAGAAACCAACACTCCCCCTGCACCCAAGTCTGCAGAAGTGTTTGCCATGGACATCCATCTTTCCACAGGACCAACTCCATCAGAAAAGTGGGTAGGTCAGCTTCACAAACTAAAAGGTAATTACAATGGTCCTCATTAAGCAATTAGGAAAGACTGGGCTTTTATACATGCTTTACAACTCACCTCTGAGGTTTTAAACACCCATGACTCAATAAATGTTGCAAAAGCCAAGAGCAAGTTTTACTTAGCAGAATTTTGACTCCTGTAGCCCCCCTAAAAGGTCAATCCTTTTATTGATTTCTGCAAACCTTGCATTGATTTTGACAACACAAACGCATACCCCATTTTTAACATAACCCTAACTACTGAGACAGTTTCGCACAGTTCACATTGTTTCTACTACGCAGCAGGGATTTAATTGTTTCTCTTACTATCATCTGTGAAGGTGCGAGGAAATTACATCTCCGTGAATGAAAAGACTATTCAAGGAGTTGCAGAGACTCAAAAGAAAAACAGACAGAGCTAAGATAAAAGCAATTTTTATTAAAATACTCTTCAAGCTTCAGAAAGCATAAATTAATGAATGTGTAGCTACTATAATACATTATTTTACAGGAGAACCGTAGGGCAATGAAGCTTTTATAAACACAAGAAAGCCTACAAGCTTCACTCTGAAATAAATAAATACTATTGTCTTATCTTGTTCTTGTTAGAGGATGTGCTGAAGCTCTTTCAGGTAACACAGCAACATTTTGCTCAATATTGTGTAAGTTTTCCACAATACGAACACATTACTAGTTTAAGCAGCAGAATCCTTGTATTGAGTTTGCACTTTGATTTGCAACATTGGAATTTTTTTCTTTCTTTATTTTTTATTTACTTAAAAGCAGTCTGTCTTCTTGCTCTACTTTGTAAAACATTTACAACCACTCTAAAATTGACCTGCTAAAAATCTAGCAAAATTTAAGATAATTATCCTCGTAAGTACAATAGTTTGAAATAAGTGCATACAGTCCCTCTTTGTCTTCTTCCCCCAACCCCAAAATCAAAGTAATACAATTCCTTATTCTTTTGTTCATCATTTTCTGCTTTCTAACAACCTACAGTAACTCAAACTCAGCAATGCAAATGACTCCTTTAAGGCAAAAAAAAAAAAAAAAAAAAAAAAAAGAACTGCAACAGCCATCTCCTCTCCCCCATGTTGGGAGATTCAGACACCCAAGTTGTTCTCTTTAAATACATCCTTTTTGTCAACTAGTGATTAGCACAAAAAAATTTTCATCTCATTTTTTACACATCAGTAGGAAAGTGTTAGAAAAGTATAGAAAAGGCTAGAATTTCTCTCACAGCAAGGCTAGTGAAATACGTTTTCTTTTTTGTTTGTTTGTTTTTTGGTTTTTTGCAAAGCAGATGGGAAAGAAGAAAGGAAGGAAGTGTTTGTATTTTGCTTTTGCAACTTGGGTAAAATCACTGGACATTAAGAACACGTGCTGAGACTTCATGGTGCCAGTCACGTAATTTTGTATATTTGGGGCTAAAGACGTGGAGGGGAACCTTTTCCCTGTGGAAAGAAGTGATAGAAGAAAAATAAGAAAAAGAAAGAAAGTTTGTCTTAAGCAGTTTCACAAGCGAGCATGCAATTTCCATGCACTATTCCTATCTGCACGTTGCCTTCCTCTCTGTCAAAAACCTGGTTCCAGTGTTAGACAAAGTCAGTAGCAAAACTCCCACTGACTGCAAGAACCATTAGATTCAGCCACTGGTTGGTCCTTATTTTGAACAATGCTTATCCCAAAGCAAGGAGACAGCTGACCCTCATTTGCAGTCCAGAACTATGATAATTTCCAGCTATGCCTTGCAATTCCATCCATGCTTGCAAATGAAAAAAATGCCTGGTTAGATTTAGGAAAAGGAAAACACATCAACAAGCTGACCTCGTACAGAAAACCAAATCAGTCCAAGTTTATGGAAAATCTCAAACTCCTGCACAAACATTAATGCTGGACTGCACCAACAGACTTTAAAAGGTCGGTCTAGCAGAAAAAGATCTTGATTTTTACATGCTGAAGTAGAAGGCGAAAAAAAAGCAGCAACATTTTAAAAACACCCAGATGTCACACAAACACACTAAATGCTATCAATTAAGACATGCAAAATATTAAAGTAATAAAAATGTAACACATCAACTCACTTAGTCTTCTTTGCACCTTCGTTTTCTGGTTCTTTCACTGCAAGAAAATAGAAAAAAAATTCTTTTCTAAGGCACTGAGGGCACTATACACTGAGATTCTCCCCTGTGCCAATGCTCTTGTCACAGCAGGAACTCACGACAAGAAGGCTCTCTAGGACTCCCTCGATTCTTAAGACACCCCAATGGACATGAGGTATGTCTATAAACTTCCAGAGCCCTTGGTCAGCAGGATTGCTGTAAGGTGGCTCTACTGCTCTCTGCCCTCTCCCTTGGCCCACTCTCCACACTGGCATGGAGAAAGGAGAGTTGGCAAGGGGAAGATGAATGGAAGTCGCAAGGCATTTCTTCTGGATGACCATCCAGCGGCTTTCTATCAGGTGATAATCCAAGCATCTGTTTGCAGCCAGGCTGGGACCTAGCAGGGTGCTAGGGGACTGCACATAGGATAACGTCAATTCCCAGCCCTGGTTTCAAGTGTGTCAAATGTAGTTGCAGTCACTTTCTTACAGTATTTGTCAACAGGATTAATTCATCAGTACTGGCTGACATGTTATTTGACATTCAGGTCTCATATTCTGCCCTTACCAGGATCAATGGAGAGAATCCAAAGACAGACAATGATCCATTAATATGATTCTATAATTCTATTAATAGATGAGCACAACAACTAACAGGACCACAAAACAATCAGGTAACTGTCCAAGTTCAGGATATTTACCACATGTGGACAATAATCCTTATTTGGGGAGAAGTTATCATTAGCTTCTAGAGGAATTCTGCCAGAGAACAGATAGCTGATTTAATCAGATCTGCCCCTGGGGAGGGGGTCCAATTTCCTCACCGCCTTCTTTATTGTAGCACTAGCTGTGTAAAGCAGAAGAATGAAATAATCACCTCTACGTTAGCTGACTCAGTATGAAGGTGACTGAGCTCCAATCTCCTGACGGCACTTTTACACAACTTGACAGAGCTCAGCCAGTGAATTGTAAGTGACAGTATAATATGAAATCGAAGTTTTAACATAAAATGATATGACTGGGAATGACCTTCTCTGCATCATCTGTTCCAGTCCACATTACATGTAATCACAACACCAGAGCAGAAGCAGGGGATGTAAACATGCCCTGGTAAGAAACCGAGGAGCTATGGAATGATGCGCCTGATTAGTTAAATCATTGCAGATCACACACCTTTGTATGACTGTCAAAGATTTTCTACATTCCTGAAAACACCTTAATTTTTCTGGAGCACTAAATTTGAACAGGGATGTTGACATTTTGGTGATACAGGAGGGGAAAGAAACAACAAATATCTATCTGCCAACGTCTTTGTGAGCAGAATTGGAAATTTTAAGATTTATCTAGAATGTATTAATATTCAACTCAATCAGGAATAATGTCCAATAATGTCTATGTCCTGAGCTATTTAGCAATTGCAGGAGTTTTACAAAATAGTTTTCCTACGATAGCCTTCTCAAACTGTTTCCTCGTAAAGAGTTCACCAAAATTCTGCCTACTGGATTTATTACCCAAGAAGGGACATGCAGAAGATATGACTGAATATTTCTGCTATTTGCCCCGCTTGTGCCCCCAGCTTTTAAAAACACCTATCTGTCCAAGGCCAATTCTTTTTTTTTTTTTTTTTTTTTTTTTACATCAGACTACTCACTATGATCAGTGCCGGTGATTTGGGCAAGGATGCGGAAGGAGCGGGACTGGGTGGTGCCTGTGCGGGGATGCCAGTCCTCGGTGTCCTCGATCAGTCGCTTCTTGCTGGCATCGCTGTGGGTGGGGGTGTGGTAAAACTCCGTGTAGGTATCCACAATGTGCTTCCGTGGGGGGCTGCGGCAAGGAGAGGAGAGAGCAGTGAGCGAAAAGCTTCAGAGACCATCTGGGCGGGGGTAGTCACAAAGGCAGGGGCAGAACTGGGACTTTTCCCCAGGGTTTAAAGGCAGCTGCTGTGTGTGGATGCTGAAGTGTGGCACTGAGCTCCACAGGCACAACACCTGCACACAGACTGAGTTCTCTGAATCAAACACAGCTTTAGAATGACTCTAACTTGACTGAAATGTTTTTCCTTATTTCACCACTAGAATATTTGAAACAGTCAAAAACAGTATTATCGAGACATTTACATGTTTAAATCTTTACCGTTTGGGTGGGTTTTTCCTTGGAGAGATGACAGAGTAAGACAGCAAGAGAAAGGTTTCCCAGCAGAAACAGGAAAAGGAGAAAAAGAAAACAAGAAAAAGTCAGAAAGTTGAAACAGGAGTTCAGCTAATTATGCTGTCGAATTAGTTTTGCGGGAAAGGGCACTGAAACCAATTAAAAGTGCTATTCTCGTTCTACCTCCAAAACTGCAGCACAGAACCCCCATAAATGAAACTTAAACTCAGCAATTTCCTTACAGGAATAAGAGGGGGATTTGGTTGTTTTGGTAAAACAGGGTAGTCTACTTAGTTCAGATCAAGTACCCCAGACAGATTTTTCCCCTTTGTTCACAAGAGGCAAAGCACCAGCTGTGTGCACGGGCCACCCAGTACACGCCAAGTCTTTCGGGTTAGCAAAGCCTGGATCAGACCCAGGCCATTTGAAAGTCTAGGTGGTGATGTTCTGGAGCATAACGTGAAGTTGTTGATCCTTGATACTCTCTCCAAGAAGTCCAAGTAGTGGGGAAATTTTCCCCACAGTAGCCTATACGCTCTTATCAACCCCTGTGCCAGCAGACTTGCAAGAATGTAGGGGTTTAAAACTTTGCTTTCAGTAACTGATACAAAGAACACGTAATGGCACTAGTCAGTTTAGGAAAAGATAATAGAAGATTCATACTATGCATATTATTCCTCAAGTCTACATTTGTTATCCCAAAGCATTAATCTTTAAGACCCTTTAAATATACACTATTTTTTACAAAGTCTACAGGAGATTAACTGTGCAAAATTAGCTGCTAAGACATAATAATTCTACCAAAAAAAATCCCTTTAAAAGTCCCTTTCCACTACATCCCCACTCTATTTTTAACTTCTAAAGTGTTTTTGGCAAGGAAAGGTGGAAAATATGAATAAGAACACTATAAATTATTAATTGTCAACAAGTAAGCATTATGCCCATTCAGTGGAATACATTAATAAAGACATAAGCTTAAAAGAATATTTAAAAGAATGATGTGAGAGGTATCACACAAAATTATAGCAAAAAACCAAATTAACTAACACGCAGCATTAGTGAAGTACACCTACCTATCAAGGTTACTAAAAGAGGGAGGGATATAGAAACAAAACCAGTGGTATTTCTAGGATGGAGTACAAGTAGTACAAAGAAAAATGAAGTCAAGCATCAAAACAGTTAATAGCCAAAATAAAATCTGAAAATTAAAGCAGTAATTAAAGGTATCGAACTACATGGAAACATAGTTATTTCCATGCAGTTGACTGCATCCTAGCAACTACCACAAGGAAATAAGTAGCCTTTTGCATTCGTTGAAAGTGGTATAAACAAAATATCCTGCTGACTTCTCTTATGGAGCCTACTGGTCCCTTTTTTAGGGCTTAAGAGTCTACTGGTAATGACTCATTCAGGCAACAAGGTGGTGCCAGAGACACAGGAAAATCCAATGAGACTGGCTCTCCCTCATCTCCGCTGTGAGGCAGGGGAGAAAACACAAGCCAAGAAACTCTCCATCATTTTTATCATCCCTAACACACGTACAAGTCACAGTATATGGATGTTACTCTGATTTTTTGTCGTATGAATTCAGTATCTGGCCCTTCATATACTGTAGTTTGCAATTCACTAGTTGTCTTACTAACACCAATTAGCCATAGGTGCACCAAGATTTTATCAATACACACAACACACAAATGTTTTGTGGAATAATAAAAAAAAAAAGCTGCAAAATTTAACACAGTGAAAAGCAAGATCACTTCACGTCCAATGCAGACAAAACCATTTATTACACTAAGAAGTTACTAAGAAAAGCTGAAGCTGTTTTGCAAAATGTAAATATAAAACTCTGAAAGAGCTCTAATTTTGCAAAACAAGAATACATGCTGGTTATTCCAACAGGAAAATGACCATAATTCAACTCCAGTGCTGTCGATACTAACTTTGTCTTTGTTGTTATCTGCAAGGGAAAAAAAGTATTTGATGCGTTAATATATTCTTTGCTTCTTGAAATATTACAGGAGTTTCCAAATCCAAGCTCTGGTAAAGCCATATATCATGTAAGTCAAACTTACAATCATCAAGAGAACCTACAAGGGAAAAAATTTAGCCCAGCTGAGCTTAAACTGGGTGAAGTCTGTGGACATCTTACCTGTTTTAAGCAGCAGGCACAGTTTCATGCAAGAGTTGGCAAGAAAGTCTTGATAAAAGCGCAATTGCACACAGCCTACTGAAGGCAAATTGCTTTCTTTCTAAGCCAGGACTAAACAAGGGAAATAAAACTTCCTTCCCCACCCCAGAGTGAAGGCAAATAGTTTATGTCCTGAATGTAGTTTGAAGGGAGCCAGGGGGGAAAGAGGAAATTCTGAGTACGACAAGGTGCTCTGAATGTTTTCAGGCTTTCCCAAAGTAAATCTGCAAGGCTGACAGTGGGACGGGGATTTCTTCAGCTGTCAGCTACAATACTCTTCCGTGGGTGTTACTCATCCCCTAAGTGTAAGGCAGGGCACGTACCAGCACCCACCCAGTCATCCCATCTCAATAGTCATGGGCTTACTTTGTGCCTGCAGCACTTCCTTCCAGGAGACTTAATTTTGTTGCTATTGTTCCTCTTTTTCAAGTACTAATTGCTGCTTTTGAGAACTCCTTACACAGTATTTGCTAAAACAGTATTCCTGGAAACATACAGACAGCTTGACAAAGTGTATTCTGCAAGTCTACCAGCATCAAGCAAGTCCTTGGGATCTCCCGAATCCATCCCGCTTCTAGGCAGCGTGGACTCCTGCCATCGGCTGTTTAAGGAAAGGATGGAAGTTACCATGACAATGGTGTGATTTAAAATGCATATGGACCACATTATAGGAGTTCACATACGGAAAATATTCGTACTGCAATATAAAGGGAATAGGTACCTGGAGAAGTCTTTTTTCCCCGCATAAGAAGTTCTGCTGAAACTGTAATTTATTCTGTATTTTAGTTGATGTGGATGTTTGCCTCTCTGTAGGGTTCTGCATAGACTTTATATACTGAGAGAGCATCAGAGGAGAGAGGCACTAAGTCTATTCCTCCAGCCCCTTTCCTTTGAGGGATGGGAAAAACCAGCCACAACTTTTAGGTTTTAAGCCCAGGTTTTACATTCTTAAGATCGAAGAGAAACCTACACTTCTTCTGCTGTTTTTATTACTTCACTAATCCATCGGACACTGTTGCTGGGCACGGAGGCCAACAGGCATGGGACGGCTCATGCCCAGCCTCCTCCTCTCCCCACAGCACAGCAGCCACTGGGAACCTGGCCCCAGGGCGCTGCAGCTCCCGAGCCCTGTCCAGGAATTTCTGGGAGAGCTCAAGGTGGCCCCAGCCAAAAGTGTGCCACCGAAACAGGGCCCTGCTGCAGGTCCAAGTGCCCAGGACTGCTGCTGGGCTTGGTTTAATTTACTAATCTATTGATTACTAGTCCTGGTGCTACATCAGGTGCAGTATAAGCCTTACACGCAGCCTTACAGTCCCTTCAGCGTTACACTTCTGATATCCACTTTAACATAAACAATTATTTGAACACAAAAATGACTCAAATTTTAAATCTGTGTTGCCTTTTTAGGGTAAAGGTAACATTTAAGGGATTTACGTTATAACGCTGCAAAAAATCTGCTCAACCCCGTCAGCTTCCTTGCACACATCTTAAGGTTTCCCATGCATTGTGCAGAGAAGGGATGGTACCATCTGTCCCTTTGCCTCCCTTCTGGGACCCTTCTTCACCAGTCCTGCCAAGGCCATGGTTGGTCTTCCAAGAACATCTCATTCCCAGCCACTGCAACACCCGCCGACTCTTCTTGACAGACTGCTCTGCATTTTTGAGTGCCTGCTGCTTTCCATCACCATATCAGGAGTCAAAATACACAGTGAGACACAGACATTGAAATTAATACCGGGCTTGTTGTAAGGTCCAGATCACACTATGATACAACCCATCGTGTTGTATGCCATTTTGTGGTCCTGATCCAATTTAGCTGTGACACTCTATAGAATGGTATCATGTCACGCCTGAAAAAAAAAAATAATCACCAAAAGTCTGTCTTGGACCTTCGAAGCATCCCTTTTAAGATGCGAGTCCTTTCTCAAAGATTCACTTCTGAAGATCAAACGATTCCTCCAATCTGTGTTTTACTTTGCCCTTAAACAAGCCCAGCTTTTTTCCTGCGAGGAAAAGACCCTCACAGTGAAAAAACAAAATCCCACCTACCCATTTTGCTGTTTAATCTCCCCCTGGTTTTCTCTGAATCCTCGTCGCGGCCCCTCGGCTACATCCTGGGCGCTGTCGCCGGCATTGGGCTGCCGTGGGACATTAACTGCAGGTTTAGCAGCGCTGGGGGTGGGTGACGGCTGCTCAGCGTTAGGCTTGGCGTTAACATGCAGTCCAGGCGTAGCAAACGGGGCCGGGGATGGAGCCACTGCCTGGGCCGGGGTGAAGGCGGAGGATGGTGATGGGATGGAGGTGACTTTGGAGGTGGTTACGGCTCCAAACGGCCTTGGTGTTTTATTGTAAGCCACGCTGGCCGTGGCAGTGACTTTGGGTGCGACAGCAGAGGCAATGGGCACAGGCTTAACTACTTCTGTAGGTTCTCCCTATGCGAGATGAAAATAAAAAAAAACAAAAAAAGAAACACACAAAACCACACCAGACACATGCACGTTCCTCAGCAGGGATTTTTCGCTGCTCTAAGGGGAGATAAACCCTCCTACCGTGAAACAAAGCAGCACAGAAGCAAGCTTTACCAAGACTGCAGCCGTGACACGTATGGAAAAAAACACGAGCCATGCGTTTTAGGAAAGGGAACGATCCAAGCATGCATGAACGATATGAAATCCCATGATGATAACTCCTCTCATCATATCCAAACCAGACACCCCACAAATCAAATTCAAGACAAACCGAAGAACTGCTCTATTACAAGCCCCACTGGTTAACTTATGTGGAAAATATCTGTATTTTTTTAATAAAAATCCACATTCCACCTCTCAAACCCCATTCGAGATACACATGTTCCCT